CCTCGTAGACATGAGAGAGCTGCTTAGAGAGTTCAGATGGAGCTGAAGGATGAAGCTGCTCACACCAACTATTCACTTTCAAGCTCGTTAGAATCAAACTCATTTACTGTATTCCACAGACGTTTGCACAGGTTTCAATAAATCACAGCATCTATTCTTAGCTATCCTAAGAATGACTCAAGAGTTTTGCTTAGTGCAGTAAGTTTGTTCTTTAGTGTTGCACATAAACCCGACCGGGTGACAGCCAGCAGCAGGGAGCAGTCCTCTCCATGGACCATGCGTCTACTTTAATATGTTAATGTCACTTTATTAGATCTTCATACACCAAAGTACATGGTGATATCACATCACACACAACGACATCACTGCAAAAAGAAAACGCACAACATAGTTCATGAATGACTCTGTTACCGCAGCAACAGTAAGGCACTTAGAATAAGAGTCCAGACTGAGCTATGAGGAGGAAACAGAAAGCACATGAAGGCTCGCCCCTGATTGGCTAAAAGAGACAAGTCAAGTAAGGTTTGAGTTTCAGGCAAGAGGAGGGCTGAACAGTTTGTTGTATTCTTCCTCAAAGGAGACTCTCTTCAGACGCTCCAGAGACAGCAGAGTGAGGCCGCCCTACATACAACACGTCACATCATATGACACGAGGCACGTCACATCACATGACACGAGGCACGTCACATGACACGGGACACAACACACATACGACAACACAGACAGAAGGAAACAGAATCATATGAGTTGTTTGTTACATGTACACAACATATCTTATACATGTGCAAGGGTTTAAATATTTCTAAATAAACGTGTTTGTGCAGTAGTCTGACCAGCAGGTGGCAGCAGTGGAAGCCTCCACACACTTACCCAGGTGAAGATGGAAAAGAAGGAGAAAACGATGGTTGCTCTGGCTGCGTCGGCTCCTTCGTTCAGAGGATTGTCCTCTTTTTTAGAGACCTGCCACTGATTGGCCAGAAAACAGAAGCCCACAAACCAGATGAAGGCCCATAGAGCTGCACACAGCACGGAGGAACCGCATTTAACAAAATGCACAAAACACACGTGGCCAATCCCACCGACTCCAAAGCACAGGAGATGGACACTCACCTGACACTACAATGTCAGCCATGACGGCCTTCTTCCTGTCCTTCACGCCGCTGATCTGGGGGAAGTAAACATCCAGTGCCAGGAAAGCAGCGCTGCATAGGAACCCCAGTGTTCCCATGGCGATGCCATAGTTGCAGGCGTTCTGGTTGCGGTTGAAGATGCAATACGGCTCCACCTCCTCTGGCCTGTTGACATAGCCCTCGTTAGCAACGCAGCCGAGGATGACGATGGAGAAGAGCTGGAGCGAGGAAGTAAAGTTTATTAATGAGCAAGTTTAAACACAGCTTTTACTGATCAAAGTGTACTGAATGTAATTTTAGATTTAAGGCTATATATCTCATAATTTGTTTGTTTTGCCTCTGAAAACACTACATCCACATGAATTTCTCTTTTGGGGCAGGTAATGAGAGTGTCATCTCCACATGTCCAGAAAGGTGCAGAAGAAGAAACATGAGCCGATGTCAGATGTCAAGGCCACGCTCAACAGTTTTGACCAATCATGTTAACGTCCCGCAGTAACACTGCTTACTGGCTGGGTGTGGGGCTCTTTCTTTCTTTTGGGTCTGAGTGACCAAAGAGACACAGCAGCCATTTTTATCTTGAACCTTTATTGCTTAATATTTTTTTATAAATGCACTTTGAGCATATTTATCTTCTCTCTCAAAAATAAACCCAACAACCTATAAACGTGCATGAAATTACATATTACTTGAGAAAGCAAACGCAGACACAGAACCATTACCAGGCCATCAACAGAGGACAGCAGGGGGCAGACAGAGTTTCAGCGGGAACAGCCAATGGGAGATCAGTGGGCACACAGTAAGTCTTTTTCCATGGCCTCTCCGAACTCCTCCCACACAGGAGTTTTTGCGTTGGCCACTGCCCAAGCCGCTTTCTGCTAGGCCTGTCGGTACCTATCGACTGCTTTCGTAGTCCCACAGGCTAACCGAGCTCCATACAGCTGCTTCTGCATGATGGATTCCACCACCTTGTGGATGCAGCTCAGTGCAGCAGCTCCAGCAATGTGCTGAACATGATCCATTTGGACTCAATGTCCTCAGTCTGCCTGGGAATGCTGTCGAAGCTTTACCTGTGGACCGGGGTCTCTCCCAAGCAAAATCTCAGGTGTGGGAGGAGTTTGGTGAGGCAATGAAAAAAAACTAAACTGGAACATAAAAAAACCAAATCTATCAGCAGCAACCAACCAACCCAGTGATGTCACACTGTGCTGTAACACAAGATGGCACTAATCACGTTTTAAAAATGTTAAGCCCTTATTAGATCCAGCAGAGTTATCTATGTCCGTTTTTGAGAGCAGGACTCCTTGGTGTGAATTTGCTTTTATCAGAGATAGCAGCAGGAACATTCATTATTTAAGTAGAAGTACAGCAGCACCATGGAGCTGCTGTACTTCTACTGGAGCTGCTGGAGTATTCTGAACCTGTGTTAAAAAATACTCTAGTAAAAGTACTGAAGCAACTTTTTTACTCAAGTAAAAGTTTATGTTTAAAGAGAAGCTTTAAAGTACAGATTTAACAACACTTCCATGTGAGCTTTAAACGAGCATCCTTGACTCTAAGCTCTCTGCTTCCTCTGCTTCTTTCTTATCTTCCTCCATCTCTGAGTGAACGTGGCTCTCTGTCTTTGCTGTCCCTGACAAATAAGCAGCTGGACTTTAGCTGCAGCACACTGTGGGACAAACTGCACGCACACAGTTTGTGTGTTTGCTGGTGTTTGTTGAGCTGATTTGATTTGACAGTGTTTGAGGTGAGCTGAGAACACTTTATCATCTGTGGTATCAGTCAGAATCAGCTTTCTATTTTCACCTGACTATTGTGCAGATCACTGTTAACAGTTTCGGTGCCATGAATGGCTCTGAGGCCCGACTGAAACAGTTCCTGTTTCTCGCCTGAGCTGGGACCCGACTGCTGTTGTAACATGAAAGTTAACTTAGGAACAGGACGGTATGTTCTTGGCATTTTTGTGCCATGGCTGGATTCTGGAGGCAGAGCGGGCATGATCACATGCAGTCTGATGACTTCCTCAAAGAAAGAATGCTAACCACACAGCGCAGCTCGAGTGGATACACGGCTCCTGTCACACTTTAATACATTCATACAAAGACGATCACAGTTTTGGAGAGTGTTTTATTTGTGGTCCTTGAATAGCGTCTGTAGATCTGCAAATATTTCACATCAGAAACCTGTTAATAAAGGAAGCTTTTCAGCTTTTTTAATCATGTGCAGCTGCACCTAACAGGGCTCCATGTGACCTTTAACCAGCAAGCAGCTGTTACCCTGCACCTCCCAGCTCCACAATTACCTCTTCCATCCTGTGCTATGGAGGCGTGGAGGACTGCATGTTTCTATCCAATCACAGCAGTCTCTCTCCTGAGCTGTCCAATCAGAGTGGCTGCAGAGTCAAACAGTGAGGTTTTGTTTGAGCAGTCTTGTGTTGAGCCTCAGGAATTTTAACACCAATCTCATGACTGAATCACACAGGACTCTCAGGACCCAGCAGCCAGTAAAGTGACGGCTGAGCCCAAACAGAGAGAGAACCGACAGAACCAGAACCACTCAGTCACACATTAACACGAAGGCTGATCACGTAAACATCAGAACAGGCAGACATTTGTGAAGATGCTGATCTCCTGAAGTGTTACTTCCACCATCTCTCAGGTCAGAGGCACATCAGAGGAGGATGGACATCAGCAGACCAGGTGGACCCAGACTCACCTGAACTGGATCAGAACCACCGATCTAAGAGGTTCTGACTGAAGTTCTGACTTCATTCAGAGTTCGGACAATTCGGGACATTTTAATTTTGTCTGCCTCACTTTGTTGGATTTACTCTAACCTGTCAGACATTCATCCACCTGCTGGAGGGAGCTGAAAACACGTGTTGGGGAACATGGGGGGCATGAGAGGAAGTCATTCAGGGAGGGGGGCAGGCATTCAGGGAGGGGGCCAGGCATTCAGGGAGGGGGCCAGGCACCAGCTCGGATGTGAGACTGCGTTCAGCAGATGAGACTCTGAGAGAATGTGTAGCCCACATTGTCAAACTCACCTGAATGCTCTAAGATAAAACAGGTGAGCCTGTCACATGACACCACAGCTTCTTGGATCTGATTGGATGGCACCGTGAGACCTCTCAGGTTTGTCCATAACACTAATGATTGGTTTGTTTAGAGACCCATCTATGACATAATTAGGACATCACAGGACTTACCCAGCACAGGATCCTAACGACGGTCTGCGGCTGCCTGATGAAGGTCGCAGGGTCGAACGCTCCGCCGGCCTTCCCCGCCCCGTACGCCTGGAAACCGTCCATCCACTTCCTCTTCCTCAGACCAGCTCAGACCACTGCAGTCCACCTCAACCCTCCAGAACCCAGCCAAGTCCAGTTAGTCGCAAACAGACTGGTCCCACTTCACTGCATCAGGACAGGCCCAGTCAGACCAGTAGGCTCAGTTGGTCTGGGTGTGGCTCTCTCTTCTTCTTCTCTGCTGTTATAAACTACTCTGTAATCTGCAGTAATCCTCTTCATCCTCCCTCACTGCAAACAGCCTTTAGCTCCCCCCGCACTGACTCACTGCACCAATCAGAGGAAGCGGCCACAGCTATCCAATCATAGTGAAGGAGGCGTTACTCTGCCTGAGAGGAGGAGCTGCCTGTGAGGCAGAACTCAGGGCGGAAAACTACTCATGTCTGTCTCCTCGTTCCTTCCTTCCTTCCTTCCTTCCTTCCCAGTAGCTTTGTAAATCCCAGCGAGTAGAGGTTTGCAGTGATGAACTCACAGACCGGGATATCATGGCGGCGGCTCTGAGGAAGACCTCCCATCTTCATTGTCCAGTCTGGAGATCAACCATCAGCTTGATTGTCCCTGATGGTGTGGTTGAGGCGTGGGGGGTAGCTGTGACCCCTGTGAAGGCCTCATTAATTAAAAGTACATCTGCAGAGCAACATCTGCTCCTAACCCTAACACCGCCTGTCTCAGGGACCCTCACTGAGCTCCATTCCTGACCTGAGTACAGCCCAGCCCCAGACCATCACCCACTGAAACATCTGGAGATTCACAGAACCCAAAAACCACCAAAACATCTGGTTTCAACCTGCAGAAGCTGGTCTCCTCAGTTCAGTCAGAGCTGTGGCCTGAACAGCTACACGTTTTTTATATTTAATGATTGTTTTGATCTTTACTCTTTGACCCTGAACCAGCAGCGATGCTGCAGCTGAGAGAATAAAGACTTTGAGTTTCCTCTCATTCGTTCATGTGCAGCTTGTTCCTGAAAGCAGGAAATGAAGCTCCAGCTGCTCAGACTGAACATCCATGTGATCGTGCGCTGATGCAGACCATGGTTCTGATCTGCTGCAAACACACACCTGAGTATCTGTTCAACCAATCACATTCATTCACTCTGATCTGCGACATACTGCAGCGAGTTCCACCTTAAAGCCTGAGCGCTCTGATGGGGGACGCTGTCAGAGTGGCTGTGAGCATCACAGCTGTATCAGCTGTTCCTCTGATGATGTCGCCTTGTTTGATGTGAGCATGCTCACCACGGTGACCCCTGTTAACCCCTGAATCAGGCTTTAGGCTTGGCCAGACAGCACAACATCATGTGACACTCGGTGTTATTCAGTCATAAGACCTTCAGACAAACGCTGCTCATCCTCATCATCGTCTTCATCTTTGGGGAGACGAGTTCGCCTGAAGAAACCAAGCTGCACAAACGCACACACACACGCACACACACACACACGCACACACACACACGCACACACACACACACGCACACACACACATCCCATCAAAGAGGAGCTTATAAAGAAGGAAGAAGAATATTTAGTGTACAACAAGTCAAGTGGCTTTATTGTCGTTCCAACCCTGTGCAGGGGTTCAGTGACACGAGAC